ATATATTTATAAGTTATACTAAAATATATTTAACAGTTCTAAATATATTTAATTAATATTATAAATATATTTAAAACTAAACGAAAATATTAGAATTTTGGGAGAGAAAATTCTCGACGCGCGTGGCACGTCATTCCAGCGCAAGAGGTTAACCCCCACTTTCTGCCGACTACCGAATGCGGACCATAACGAGCGACCATAACTCGTATACAATAATTCGTCGCGCTTTCTTTTTCATTTTGAGCTTGTCAGCACGATGTCACTGGATAGAAATTATTGAGAAGTGACAAACTCATCACTTGTTTCGCCCGGGTTACACTTAAACATGCTTAAAACTGTGGAAAATATTGCAATTTGAAACAAAAAAATTCTCGACGCACGTCCAAGCGCAAGAGGTTAACGAGATCAGAGGGTTCTTCGCGCGAACGTTTTTGCGTCGTAGCGTTTCCTAACTATTCCCGAGTGAACGCAGTCGAATATCAGCCAAACCTTAGCTACTCATCGGGGGCGGGAGGGTTTAGAGGGGAAGGGGGGCGTAGTTTCGTTTCGCGCCATGCATGTACAAACGTTCCAAAACTCGCCACTATACTCCCCCCCCCCCCCGTAAGTAAAACTAAAACAAGAAGAAAAACGAACAGGGTAGATCGCGTGTGATAACAGAGAAAAGGCGGCGGGTTTTTCCATCGCGAGTAGCATAGAGGGGGTTGGGGTTGGGGGGGGGGCGGGGGTGTTGGATGCATGCTATTAGTAATAGTGAAGACGTACCCTGTACCAAGTGGCCACCTGCGAGGCGCTCGAAAGGGGTGGAGAAGCGGTGGTATGTCCGCGACGCAACACACACACACACCGGAAGGTGGAGGGTGAAGAATCGGTCGGGCGCGCCCGACGGGCGCGATTTTTCGTTATAGTTTTTCGAGTTTGGTCGGTCGATTCGCGCGTTCACGCGGGGTGTGTGCGTTCACGAAGAGGCGGGCCCCCAACAAGACGATAGCACACAGGTGAAGAAGTGGTGGTTGGTGGTTGGTGGTGGTAGTTCGGTGGTGGTTCGGTGGTGGCGGGTGTAGTGTATTCGCACGCCCCGTGCAAGTGAGGCAAAAGCAAAAACAACAACAACAACAACAACGCCACAGGTCAGAGAAATGTACACGATTAATCTCGATGGACACTCGCGTGTCGCTGTGCATAATTACTAATTAGTAATAACTATATATATATATATGTGTGTGTGTGTATGTGTGTGTGTATACATATATGTGTATACGTACACACGTACAAACATACACACATACATACGTACATACATGTGTATATATATTATACATGTTCTTCGTTTTTTACACGTGAAACGTTGCAGATTTTTTCGCATTGCAAAAGTACCACGACGGAAGGGAAAGAACGACGAAGAGAATGGTAATTGGAAAACGAGAGAATGCAAGTTATTTCGATACGTTCGCCGTACAAGAATTATGGAATAATTCATGGAATATATATCGTATATATATTTATTAATATATGGAACATATTACCATTTCCTGGTGATGAAAAATTGTTTGCACAGTTGCACACGCGACCTTCCGGTGAAGAAAAAGTCTTTTTTAAAATATCGCGAAATACCCTAACCTCTTGCGCGAAATAGCTGGTTCGCGGACCATAACGAGTGACCAAACAGCAACGTATACAGTAACTCGTCTTCATTTCAGAATTCATCGGTACATTACTGGATAGAAATTACTGAGAAGTGATAAACTTAAAATGATCATAAATTTATCTACCTGGATTATACCAATAAATATACCGAAAACTGAAGGAAATATTGCAATTTTGGGCCAAATGTTGTGGCACGTCGTTCCCGCGCAAGAGGTTAGTAAAAAATCTGCAACATCCTACATATCCGACGAAATATAAACCTTCGTGAAACGTAAGAACAGGTGTTGCATATATACGTATATACACAACTGTATGTTATTCGCATGTATCCCCATTGCGTGTGTTTTTGAAAGTACAATGCATGTGTGTGTGTGTGTCTGTGATATGTGTGTATATACACGTTGGATACACGTGTGGTCATGGCCGCGAGAATCCTTCGGAACACGTCCGATGACTGTTAACGTTCCGATAAATCCGCGCTCCCATAAACGACGCGGATAGATCGCCTGCAAAAAAGAACTCGAACAATACGCCGCGCTCGCGAGCGCGGCTCGTTTTCTCTCTTTCTCTCCCTTTCTCACTGGCGATCGGGCACAGAACATTCGTCGATTAACAGGACAGCCAATTATCGGGACAAGAGCGAAACTGTGCGTGGAATGCGGAGGGTAGAACGTGTCCTACGTATTCGCGACTGTACTGCCGAGCTAATCGTGGGAGCACGCGTTTCGTATCTGGAAAAACGCTCCTCCGTCGTCGAACTCGAGAACACGTTTCCGAGAAATTCAAGGTCGACGGACTGGTACGAAGCGAGAGATCAAGCACAGGATGTGTGTGTAAAAAAGAGAGAGAGAGAGAGAGAGAGAGAAAAGGGAGAAAAAAAAAGAAAAGGACAAAGAGAGGGAAATTTTTCACCCGAGGCTGGATGAAAGATAAAAGTCGCTTGACTTTGAGAATGGTACGGGAGGGTTGTCACGTCGTGGAAGCGGAAGACACCTGCCCTCCGTGGATAGAATATTTAGAAAATAATTATGATTATTCAGAAAGTAATTATTTAGAAAATAATTATTTAGATAATAATATTATTTAGAAAATAATATTACTTAGAAAGTAATTATTTAGAAAATAACATTACTTAGAAAGTAATTATTTAGATAACAATATTATTTAGAAAATAATAATATTTAGGAAGTAATTATTTAGAAAATAATATTATTTAGAAAGTAATTATTTAGAAAATAATATTATTTAAAAAGTGATTATTTAGATAACAATATTATTTAGAAAGTGATTATTTAGATAACAATATTATTTAGAAAATAATATTACTTAGCAAGTAATTATTTAGAAAGTAATTATTTAGAAAATAATATTATTTAGAAAGTGATTATTTAGATAACAATATTATTTAGGAAGTAATTATTTAGAAAGTAATTATTTAGATAACAATATTATTTTGAAAGTAATTATTTAGAAAATGATATTATTTAGAAAGTAATTATTTAGAAAATAATATTATTTAGAAAGTAATTATTTAGAAAAGTAGGAGTTTCACCGATTTCGACAATTTTTAAATATGTGGTAAAAATTAACATTTTGAACAATCTTTTTCTATACATATAACCGCTCGACCTTAGTTTCCGAGATTTTTGCAAAAAACTATTGCCACTACCTATAAAAACCATAAACAATCGGCGACTCAACGCTTATACACATGCTGCCACAGACGCGTAGCTATAGGCAATATTCATAGCAGTAGTAGCAATGGTTTTTTGCAAAAATCTCGGAAACTAAGGCTTAACCACGGCGGTTACACGTACATAGGAAAATGTTATTGAAAATGTTGATTTTTATAACATATTTAAAAATCGTCGAAATCGGTGAAACTCCTACTTTTTTAAATAATTACTTTCTAAATGATATTTATTTTCTAAATAATTACTTTCAAAATAATATTGTTATCTAAATAATTACTTTCTAAATAATATTATTTTCTAAATAATTACTTTCCAAATAATATTATTTTCTAAATAATTACTTTCTAAATAATATTATTTTCTAAATAATTACTCTCCAAATAATATTATTTTCTAAATAATTACTTTCTAAACAATATTATTATCTAAATAATTACTTTCTAAACAATATTATTATCTAAATAATTACTTCCTAAACAATATTATTATCTAAATAATTACTTTCTAAACAATATTATTTTCTAAATAATTATCAGAAGACTACGATGGAAGAGACAGGTACGAAAAGGGACAAAGTCGAGAGAGAAAGAAAGGAAGAGGAGAAAGTGACACGGTTCGACGCACGAAGACGAAGAGGAAGAAGTAGCCGCACAAAAGATCGGCGTTTCCGCTATTTTGTTTAGAAGTGGTGGCACGTGTGTCTTGTCTGCGGCGGTGCGGCTAAGTGACTCGTGTCAGAGAAGTGCCGATACTTCTTTCCTGCGTTCTGGAAATTCCACGGAGCCGGACGCGAAACACACGCGCGCAGGTAGAGAGCAGGGCGTCCGATTTGCATTCGGTTTCGTCGTTACTCGTCCGCGGGGGAGGAACGAATATCTCGATAAATAAAACGAGACGTCACGAGTGGGGGGGAAAGAAAGAGAGAGGGGAGGCGCACGGAAGCGATCCCCCCCCACCCCCGGAGATCT